ACCTCAGGTGATCCGCCCACCTTGGCCTCCCAGAGTGCTGGGATTATAGACATGAGCCACTGTGCCCGGCCAATGCTGTATTTTTGAAGTTAATAATGTGCTTATGACATATGAAAAGCAGCACAATAATTTGATTTAAATTATTTAAGTAATTATCTTTTTTTTTTTTTTTTTTTGAGATGAAGTCTTGCTCTTTCCCCAGGCTGGAGCGCAGTAGCACCATCTCGGCTCACCGCAATCTCCGTCTCCTGGATTCAAGCGATTCCCCTGCCTTAGCCTCCTGAGTAGCTGGGACTACAGGCGCAGGCCACTATGCCCAGCCAATTTTTTGTATGTTAGTAGAGACAGGGTTTCACCCTGGCCAAGATGGTCTCGATATCCTGACCTCATGATCCGCCTGCCTCAGCCTCCCAAAATGCTGGTATTAAAGGCATGAGCCACCACACCTGGCCTAAGTAGTTATCTTTTTAAGCTGCTTTCCCTAGGCTTCACAGCAATTCACTGGAACAAAAAGAATGTTCAATTAGTTTAATTATTTTCAAAAAGTAGAGAAAGAATGTGTTTAGGTGCTTTCTTCCTTTTGAGTTTTCATTTGTTTATTTAGTACAATTATTAAGATTGAATAGGTCTTCTGGTTTCCAGATTCACAAAGAACACTTAGGTAACTTAGAGAAACAAGAAAGTATCAAGAATATAAACTGTGTAATTCAGTCTTGTCTTGAGAAACAATGTTGAACCATAATAAAGGAGATCAGTGCTTTCTAAAGATGACATATACGTAGATACTTCTTGTACTTGTATTTTAAGTACATAAACCAAAGCATAAGTATATAAACAAAAGAATAAGCATTTCACAGTCTTAGACAAATTTAGTGTTTAAAAGGCACTACCTACCTTAATTAGACACTCCTAGAAATTCAGTGGATTTTGTTACATTTTTTAGTTTATTTGGTTTTTATATAGGCAAAAGATTACAACAATCCAGCTTTTATGATACTTACCAATGCCACTGGGGGTATCTGAACAACTGTCTTAACTCATTTTTTATTAATGTGCCTTCCCTCCCCCGAAAGAGTGTAATCTCTTTCAATTTCTCTTTTTTTCTCTCAGGCTCTGCATGGAATTTTCCTCTCCTCTTTATTCTGTTGGTGTAATACACAATCACGTGTTCGTTGTCTTGTTTTCCTCTGGGTGGCATGGATACTTCCATTTCCTTCTCCTTTTTCATCTTTTCTCTCATGATGGTCTCTAACAAGATCCTCTCCAGGCTTTCTCTGATCTCTATGCTAATGGGAAAGCACTGGAATGATGGAAAGAAAAACAAAGAAGAAAAAAAGTCCCGAAAGCAGCTGGGAGTCCTTAGGTCTAACCATCTCTATGGAAACAATTCCACAGAGATAGGTCTGAAAAGAATTCTGTAGGGATCACTGGAGCAGTGGTGAGCCAATCTCACCAACCCTTATTCACAGGATTCAACTTGCAAATGTGAATAGTTGACAAGACTTTTTTTTTTTTTTAAAAAAATTATAAAATAGGAAGAAATAAAAAAAGTCATTTATGACTGTAGCGGTTTGGCTTTTCTTTTGTTTTTTGTTTTTTTTTTTTTTTTTGAGACAGAATATCACTCTGTAACCCAGGCTGGCGTGCAGTGGCATGATCTCAGCTCACTGCAACCTCTGCCCCCAACCCTGGGTTCAAGCGATTCTCATGCCTCAGCCTCCCAAGTAGCTGGGATTATAGGCATGTACCACCATGCCCAGCTAATTTTTGTATTTTTAGTAGAGACAGTTTCACTATGTTGGCCAGGTTGGTCTTGAACTCTTGACCTCATGTGATCCACCCACCTTGGCCTCCCAAAGTACTGGGATTACAGGCGCAAGCCACCACACCCAACCTATATAGTTTTGTTTTATTTTCTTTTTTTGAGATGGAGTCTTGCTCTGTCACCATGCTGGAGTGCAGTGACACAATCTCGGCTCATTGCAACCTCCTCTCCCGGGTTCAAGCGATTCTCCTGCCTCAGCCTCCTGGGTTCAAGCAATTCTCCTGCCTCAGCCTCCCGAGTAGCTGGGACTGCAGGCACGTGCCACCATGCCCAGCGAATTTTTGTATTTTCAGTAGAGACGGGGTTTCACCATGTTGGCCAGGATGGTCTCGATCTCTTGACCATCCGCCTCAGCCTCCCAAAGTGCTGGGATTACAGGTATGAGCCACTGCACCCAGCCTACGGTTTATTTTTTAACTCAGAACTTCCTACTGTAATAATAAAAAGGCAAAAGGGATGTGTACACCAATTTCAAGTCCTTTCTAAGCATGCGCATTGGCAAAGGGTGCCTAACCCAAAGAAATTATGGCAAGAAAGCAACCAAGCAAGCAAGCAACAGTTTGGTAGCGAAAAGTCATTCATGTCATTAGAATGATTTTAAGATTATGGCCTATAACCACACAAAGTATGCAGAGGAATGCCAAATTCAACCAGGCAGTAAAATAGATTGAATTCAAGGAAGGAGTGAAGGAGATTACGGAATTCCATCTACCAACTCAGGTTGAAAGACTGAAAGGATAAAGTAGCCATGTAACTTGAACCCAGAAGGACCAAGGGAAGAACTCCATCAGAATTGTGGGAGCTTAGTGTCTTATACGGCAATTATTTTTTTAAAAGGAGGGAGAGGGGTTGGGACTCACAGTGTCAGTGATAATGGGACTATAAAGTTTCAGGCCTGTTCAAAGGTCTCCATCCAATAAGCTAGTAACAAGTCTCCTGAAATGGTAACTCCAGTATTAATTAGGTGACATAACCTCAATTTTCCAAAAATGATCACACTTTCCTTAAGCTATAGACTAGTTATTTGTAACCTCACAAAGGTTCAGAGTGTTTTAAGACCCTGGCCCTTGGGTAAAACCATATGGGCTCCATATAGCTCTACCATTCAACTGTGACCTTGGGAACTATTTTCACTTCTCTAGGACTTTGGCACTTTATCTATAAAATGAAGATGTTTATTTTTCAGGGTTGTAAAGAGTAGCGTAAATTGAGTACAGAATGTAGTATGCTACACTACAATTTACGCTACTCTTTACAACCCTGAAAAATAAATGTGAGCCATTGTTATTACAGCATCCTTGTTTGGTTTTCCATCTCTCGTAATGATGATCACACTGCTCTTTCTTCCTTCAACTGAGTATTTTTATGGAGTGGGCCATTGAGAGTATGTGAGCACCATGACTTAGACAATTCTTTTTTTTTAATTTTTTTTATTTATTTTATTTTTTTAAAGATGGGGTTTCACCATGATGGCCAGGCTGGTCTTGAACTTCTGACCTCAGGTGATCCACCCACCTCGGCCTCCCAAAGTGCTAGGATTACAGGCGTGAGCCACCGCGCCCGGCAACTTAGACAATTCTTACTGCCCCACACTCGTCTTAAGCAGGTTTGAGGATGAATTGAAGCCTTAAAATGGAAGTTTCCATTACATGAAGGTAAATGGCTTCCTGTCTCTATCCTACACACTGCAGATCTCATGGGGGGAAAATGATACATTCTCCTATGTTGCTAACACCTCTCACCCTACCCCCAACAGACTTGCAATGTTTGTACCACAAAGTTCAAAGTCTTTTGGCCGGACACTGAAGGCTGTCTACAATGCAGCTTCACCCACATTTCCAACATTACCCCATCAATCCATGTATGGTCCTACCTTTGCACTTGAACTTGCACTGATTTCTTTACCAGGCTTACCCTTAACCCTTTGCGCAAAAATTCGGGGTTTTGTTTTGTTTTGTTTTGAGACAGAATCTCGTCTGGTGGCCTAGGCTGGAGTGCACTGGTTGTGCTGGAGTGCAATCACGGCTCACTGCAGCTTCAACCTCCAGGACACAAGCCATCCTCTTGCCCAGCCTCTCGAGTAGCTGGGACTACAAGCGTGCGCAGCCATCACGCCCGGATAATCATTGTATTTTTTTTAATAGAGACAGCATCTCACTAAGTTGCCCAGGCTGGTCTCCAACTCTTAGACTCAAGAGATCCTCCAGCCTCCGCCTCTCAAAGGAGTGAGCCACCGCAGCCGGCCTTTTGTTTCATTAGGCCATGTGTCATTAGGAACCTTAGTGACATGACAGCAAAACCGAAATGTACTTTTTAGGTGTCACTCGGAAGTACAATTTTCAACAACGCAAAAATATAGAAAACAACCCGACGTCGGTCTCCACAGGCTAATCCATCCCCGAGGAACCAACTGCGGGAGAGATGAAAGACATCTCTCCTGCCTTCGGCCAGCGCGAAGGCCAGAGGACAAAGAGAGGAAGGATCTGCAGAGAGAAGGGAAGCGTAGTGGACAGGAATTCACGCAAGAAACCCGAGTCCTGCGCGGCGCAGCCGGATGAAGCGCGCTGGGGGTAGGCCGGCAGCCCCGGGCCAGGGGAAGGAGGCGGACATCCAGCCCGACAGACGAAATCTGCCCGCGTGGACGCTTGCATCTTCGCAGCCCAGAAACACTGCTGTTTTTCACTGCACAATGCAAACATGGTGGACAAGAAAAGCTACCCCGCGTCTGCCGGCCGAATCACACAGTGCCCTTTCAGAGTAGTAATTGCCGAGCAAGGGCGGGGCCCTCACGGAATTTGTTCATGGTGGGGGCAGATCACCAGAGAACTTTTCCAGGCCGCCACAGCAAGGTTCCTTCTACACACGGGCACAACTACAACTACAACTGCCACTGCCACTGCCACCGCCCCGAGGCGGCAGAATGGTAGGCTCTGAAAACTGGATGGTTCCACCGTAAGCAAGAAAGAGCGCGCTACGGCTCTTTAACTAGACCAGCCTCCGCGCTGTCTACCTCGCCACCAACAGCTGCGCCGCCTACCACCGCGCAGGCGCACTTTGTGCCGCCAGCGCCCGGCGGACCCGACTTTTCCCGTCTCGCGAGAGTGGGGCTGGCCGCCTTCGCAGCTCACGCTCCGCCCCCCACTTCTTGGCTTTCTCCCATCCCCCCAAGCCAGTCGCTGTGCTGCGCAGCTCCCTAAGCGGTTGCCACCGATAGAGACGGTTGAGGGAACCGTTGTGGCGGGCGCTACACGAGGCAAACGACTTTTCCCTCCTCTCGACTGGACCCCGCGAGCACCAGAGCCGGCGTAACTATCGCCTGACAGGGTATCTGAAGTAAAAGGGGGTAGGTTGGGCTGGTGGTTTCGAGAGCTGAGTCGGGAGAAGGTCGAAAGAGGCCGGGAGGGGGCTGGGTTGGGGGGCAGTGCGGAGGTCGCCGCTCGGAAGCGGCGAAGCTGCGCCTCCCGAACCATCTTCCACTTCAAGGAGGGCAGCCTGCCGATGGGAGGACTTGCTCAGGTGGAATTCAGTGGACGACGCCGAGGCCCGAAGTAGGGGACATCCAGTATTTCCCTCTTTCCCTGCTGGCTTGGCCTCCGCCATTTTGGGTACAGTGGCGCGGCCACCTCGGCTTCCCGCCCTTCCCCGCTCTTTTTACTTTGTGTTCCCCAGCTTCCGAAAACGGATCTAGCAGGCCGGGGAGGGGGTGGTCAAACCTCCCTGGAAGGGATGAGGGTGGGGAGTGAAGCGAGCAGGGAAAGGCCGGGCAGTTGGGTGGGGGGAGGATCGGGGCTGCCGGGCGCGCTCCCGATGGAAATGGCGCCGGATGGGCCTGGCCTCCCACCGCGGCCTCCCTTCCTCCGCAGTCTCGGCAGGGCTACCTGGGCTGACGGGACTGCGAGTGACTTCTGACGCAGATTCCCAAGATGAGAGAGGCTGGAGCTGGGGGAGGAAAGCCAATGGCGACGAAGGTGCTCAACTCCCAAATCCAGGACAAAGGAGGCCGCCTGCCTCCTGTGTAATTCCGCCGCCCGGTGGCGAAGGGTTTTAAGCCAGGCTTGGCTGCTGGCGGGAGGGGGAAGGGGCGTACTCTCCCTAGCTCTTTGGTCTCTAGGGCAGCTAGATAAACGGAAAGTCTCCGGGGAGGAATAAAGGACGCTTAGCCGGCCCTTATATTCCAGATTTGGAACTTCGAAAAGAGTACGTACTCATTTTCCAAGGGTTTTTTTTTTTTTATTCTTTTTTCCACGTTTAAACGTTTATAAGGACTTCGGGGGTGATTTATCAAATAGGAATGTGAAATGGGCTTGTTTCAAGTAGGCCTTCTGGGCCCAGTAAACTATGATTGTTACTTTTTGAACTTTGGGGGAGGGGTGGGTGATGTAGCAATCATTTTGTGTAGTTTGGAGTATATGTGTTAGAATTTGTTTTTAAGTTTTACTTTTGGGAAACAGTTAAAACAACCCAGTGATGGCAGATGTGTGTGTATTGGATTGAGTTCCTTTCGATATTAAATCTCCAAGTGTTGTATTTTATGTAGATTTTTTTTCTTGGCGTTAAGGCTATTGAAGTAAAATACTTAAAAATACGGTTATGGCTTATTTTCTTTTGGTAGCTAGGCATGTTTTTTATTTAGTGTAGGAGTATAGTACACTGTAATCGTATTAAACAAGGGAATAAGCCTACTCAACAAAAACTGTAAACCCAGTCACGTGGTGGTGGTGTGATTCGGATGGGGGTCTTGAGAACTGGATCCGTAATTTTCGTTGAAGGCACTCAGTACGAAAGGGACGGGAAAGGCCTGAGAGTAAGAATTCTGATAATTCATGTAAAACTTTGTAAGGATATTGTTACCTACTTTTCCGGCTCTAAAAACAAACTTACTACTGTTGAAGATGTGCAGTGATGCTTTGTCAAGATTGCCAAGGAAAAGTTTACGAAAATCTTACCTTGAAACAGTAGGTTTGAGTGGCTCTTTGAAAAAATAGTCCAGACTTTCCTATAAAGTTGTACATGGTGTAACAAATAGTTTTACTAATTGGATTAAACTATACACCTTTTTTGTGCCCTCTTTTCATTTGTGCCATTATCTGGAAATATATCTACTTACCTTTTTAAAATAATGTTATCTTTGATTTCCTTGTTTTGGTAAACAACTGACTGAACAGTAGATAAACTGGTTTTAGGGAACTCGTGTTTTAGAGACCTGACCTCCTTAAGCTATTAGGGGTGTGTCTTTTTTTTTTTTTTTTTTTTTTTTTTAAATAGAGCAAGCACATTGGGAAGGAACGTTGTAAATTTTCTGTTAAACTTAGATCATCAGCACTTTTTCCAAAAAATAAAATTTACTCTCATTTCTTGACCAGTGGGCTACCATTTAGAAAGTTATTTATCGATGCATAAAATCATTTATGTATTATTTCAGAAGATAAGATATGCCTCCATGTTACGAGAATTGTTTCTTAAAGGCTTTGATATGTAATTTACGTACCATAAACTTCACCAATTTTAAGTGTACAGTTTAGTGGATTTTAGTACATTGACAGAGTTGTGTGACCGTCACTACAATTTAATTTTAAAAGATTTTTGTCACACCAAAAAGATAAGCATACCCTTTAGTGGTCATTCCCCATGCTGGCATCCTCCCTCCACTCAAGTCTCAGACAATCGAGAATGTAAATCGAATCACACAATATGTAGTCATTTGTGACTGGCTTATTTTACTTGTGATGTTTAGAAAATTATATTTAAGGTCTCGTAAAACTGACCAGAGCTATCTTCATATCTTAACTGTGATATCTTTAATTGGTGCTAGCACCAGAGTAGTGATTAGCCATGACGTTTGTTGCAAAGAAAGGTTGAGGTGGATTACACTGAATAATTAGTAAAGTGTTTAAGTGGTTTCTGACAGCTTTATTAGAGCAGATTTCCTCTCCCTCTGTACCCTTAGAGATTTTCTTGTTTTGGTTTTGTAGGTAGAATTTTGAGTTTTGAAGGGGTTATTATAATGACACTGTCCTTATTGTACGTGCTTTGCATACAGGGTCACCTCATAAGATAGATTGTGTTCCGAATTTGATTGGGTTTTCCGCATTTAAAAATTGTGTTAACAGTTTAGTGTTTCTTACAGACAACACTTTTGTTTTCATTGGGTTTTCTCATTGGTACAAGCTGATCCAAAAATCAAATTTGCTTGCTAGTATTTTTTTCTTGTGAGTTGCTAAGATTTATAGGTAAATTAATTTTTCTTTTCTTTTTTAAGTATTTGTTCCTTAAATGCAAATTGTACCACTAAGATCCTTCCACAACGGATTAAGGTTGAATTTGCAGTTTTTAAATTTTTCATGAAGCATTGAGGGTAGATTTATACCACTTTTTCCATTATGGGTAAATCACCCTTTATGGGAAATGCTTATTTTTTAGGTTTGTGCTATTAAAAAACAAAATTTAAGAAAAGAGGCATTTTCAAACATCTTTGAACAACTTTTTTCTAAATTGGGTTGGGGCCTTCTCCTTTCAGAGCTACTCTTTAGAATAGTATTAAACTTTTAAAAGCCTTTGCTGGCTTTGGGAAAGAAAATTTTTTAACAATCCTGAGTTCTTTTCAAGGCTCGAATTGTTTTCTGTCCTTGGAGGTTCACATATTTTGTTTATGGTATATTTCATTGGCTTTGCAGGGCCCCTTAAAGTCCAGTAACAATTGCCGACAGTAAGTACTTACCACGAGGCAGACAAAGCACTTGAATAGTCCAGTGAAGTATAGGTACCACTGCTTATAATTGAGGAGGCTCAGAGGTTAAGTGGTTTAGGTAGCCAGTGAAGGGTAGAGTAGGGATTCAAACCCAGAATGTTCATACTGTTTATTTATGTGCATAACAGTTGGTTGTAATGTCAGTTAAAAATTTGTATTCCCATTTTCGTTCTGTATGTCTAGGGTAGCACCTAGGGCTGAAGGTGATTCACACATAGAGGTACTTAACCACTGCTAGAGAATTTCTACAGTAGCTTAAGTATATGAATTCTAGGAAAAATTTTACCCTTTGCAGATGCTACCCCTAAGAGTTGCACCAACAAATAGATGACATGAAATTAAGTATTAGTGAATACTGTTGATATGAAATATCCTGAAACATAAAGGAATCAAATGAACAAAAACTGTTTTGTTTACAGGGGAGGAGGTGGTGAGGGAAAGGTTTGAAATACTCAGGTGAGTAGGATTCCTACAGCTGCATAGTGAAATTTGTAAGGTTCTGGTAAGTTTCTGCAGCTGAAGGACTTCTGCATTCGCCTCTTTTATAAATATTATGGAATTTTAAAAGGAAGGATGGTTGCCTCTGGGGAAGAGAACTGAGATCTTTTGGAGGGGAAGGGGGGCTCCTAGATGTATTTTTTATGCTTTATTTAAAAACATTATCTATTAAAGCTTATGTTTAAATCTATTTGATTAAAAAGTTGAGTTAACTGGTTTCTACATACTGTCCAGTGGCTTCAAAAACAGGTACTATTGGAAGGCATTCACTTTTGAGTGGCCTTTGACCTCAGTTTTGAAACTATCTAATTGGTCATTTTATACTGTTGCTCTTGGTGATTTTAAGCTAGATTTGGCTAAAATAGAGGCGGGAGTGTTGACCCTTCAAAGACAGTTTCATGTGTTGAAAATTGCAGTGCATTCAAAAGGATTAGACTTCCGTGGTATTTTTCCAACATAAATCAGTACTCATTACATTTTTTACTTAAGCTCTTGATGTTAGTGGATAGTACTATTGTATGTAACTTCTAAATAAGTTTTAAAGAATTTGAATAATCAGGTGAATAAAAACCTGAAAAGTTGTGGATGAAAACTGGAGAGATAAGAAAAGGCTGGAGTTGGCATTCAGGGGACACAAATAGTTTGAAAACTGTTAGTAGAATTATGCAAGTTTTCTTAAAATTGTGCAATATATAATATTGATACTAAGAAATTCAGTACTTTTCTGTAGGAGGGGTCAGGTCTCACTGCCTTTTCCCTACCCCAAAATAGATAGATGGTCTACAATTGTGTTGTGGTCTTGTCGCAGGAGTTGGTCTCGTTACATTTCCTCATGTGGCACCTCTGAGAGGTGTTTCTTCATTACCTCTTGACAAGAGTATATTTTGATTGACTGCTCTATGTGCTTGTTTATTTTTTATAGCATTTAAATCAAACGGTATTGAGATGGATTGGGTTATGAAACATAATGGTCCAAATGACGCTAGTGATGGGACAGTACGACTTCGTGGACTACCATTTGGTTGCAGCAAAGAGGAAATAGTTCAGTTCTTTCAAGGTACCTCTAGTATTAGTCAAAGTTTAGTAGTATTGTAATTTTTGTATTGTTTGACTCAGTTTTTAATTTGTAAAACCCATTTGATTTTGGAACTTTATGATAGTCTTGGTTAATATATTAAAATAATATGCTCCAATTAATATTCAATACAGAATGTTTAGAATGTGTAAACCTAATTAATGTGCAGTAACATATTTGAGAATTGTGATGAAATGAACTGAATTAGCATATGGAGCATAAATTTGATTTGTAGACTTTTTCATGTAATATAGGTGGGCTTTTAGAGTGTGTGTAATTACACAGTGTTTTTACACTGGTCGCAAAAAAGATTTATTTAATCCAGTAATATTTGAAAAAAGCTTTCATTTGTATTATGGGGTGATGGGAAACTAAGCTTTTTTGTTTTGTTTTGTTTTGTTTTGTTTTGTTTAGACTTGTTTTAAATATTTGATTCAGATGGGAATGTTTCAGCCTTTAACACTGTTCCCCTTGATGGGGTTATTTGTCCTTGGGTTAAAGGGTTGGAAATCGTGCCAAATGGGATAACATTGACGATGGACTACCAGGGGAGAAGCACAGGGGAGGCCTTCGTGCAGTTTGCTTCAAAGGAGATAGCAGAAAATGCTCTGGGGAAACACAAGGAAAGAATAGGGCACAGGTGGGGATGGAGAGTTTGGGATGGTGTTAAATTTTTATTTTTGGGGGTTGTGGGTCACTATTGCTTAAATGGGGGGGTAACCATAACATTTTTCTGGGGTAGCTTAAAAGAATTGATAATTATCTAAATTTAACTTGGAAACTACAGATTTGGGTGGGGAATTAATGCTAATAGTTATATTAAAATTAGATTGTTTTCATTTCTCTGTAGGATGTTGATAAATGCTTTTGTATAATCACCTATTTTCTTTAAACACCTATTATGTACTAAAAGAGACAAAGTAAATTTATATTTTATGAGTTGTTTTCAGTGACTAATTTGTCTTTGTAAGACTTAAATATTTACTTAAGTTTGTAGGTTTAAACTGTTAACTTATGGTGTATTTAGGCAATTTAAATTGGGTTATGTATCTAGATGTAGAAAAACTTACTGCATTTTGCCCAGTATCTAATTGACACTAATATATTTATGCTGAAATGTGTACCTTAAAACATTTTTAAATAGGTATATTGAGATCTTCAGAAGTAGCAGGAGTGAAATCAAAGGATTTTATGATCCACCAAGAAGATTGCTGGGACAGCGACCGGGACCATATGATAGACCAATAGGAGGAAGAGGGGGTTATTATGGAGCTGGGCGTGGAAGTATGTATGACAGAATGCGACGAGGAGGTGATGGATATGATGGTGGTATGTGTATCTAATGAACAAAGGTTCTGTTGTCATTTTCTTAATGTTCCTGACACTTTGTCAAGAAATACAGAAATGGCAGTAATTTCAGTACCTATTAGGTTTTAAAACCTGTTCATGAAAACATGGATTCCCATGCTAGCTGTGGGACTTGATTGATGCACATATTAGCACCTAGAAAACTTACACTGAAAGTAAAATTAAGATGTTGGCATATTTTGACCACCTTTTGCCTAAGAATGAAATTTAATCTACATGTCTGAACTTAACAAACTTTTGAAATTTTAAATTTCCATCAGATGTTGACTGCTTTTTTCAGAGTCTCAGTTGGGAATTGCAAACTTGTAATAAGTTACACAAACTGTTTGCCACAAAATGTTTTTGTAGGCTATATTATTTCTCTCTCTAAAGTATGTAGTCATGTATTTCTCCTTAAACTTCACAGGTTATGGAGGTTTTGATGACTATGGTGGCTATAATAATTATGGCTACGGGAATGATGGCTTTGATGACAGAATGAGAGATGGAAGAGGTAAAGTAAATATTAAAGACATTTTTTATTCTGAGGTGAATTTTAGTATTTGTTTTTGCAGGCTCTTAGTGGTAATATAGGAAACTTGTATAAAAAAGTTAATTCAGACATATTTCAGTGCATTCCTATATAGAGCTTTATACCTTGTACAGTGTGTATGTATACTTTCCTACTTGTATTCATAATAGTTCATAATGTGGGCAAATTGTGTTCTGTAGGTATGGGAGGACATGGCTATGGCGGAGCTGGTGATGCAAGTTCAGGTTTTCATGGTGGTCATTTCGTACATATGAGAGGGTTGCCTTTTCGTGCAACTGAAAATGACATTGCTAATGTGAGTAATTTTTGATAACTATTAGTGGTTTTATACTTAACCCTGGTATCTAAATTTTTTTTTCCCCATTTATTTATAATATCTAAATTTTTAAGCATTCTTAATGTTCTCATGTTTATAGCTTAATACCAAAATCCCTTGAATATAAAAATAGATCTACCTTTAGCTGTAGTTACTGATGTATATTTTTGTGTCCATTGTGTGTTGACCTACATAGGATTCAAGCAAGTAAAAAGCTACATTCATGAAGTCCAGTTAAGCATGTAATGAAAGACTTATCAGCATAGAATGGTGATGACTGTATACCATTTTGTGCTGGTGTCTTGTTGTTGTTTGAGATGCAGGAGTCTCACTCTGTCACCCAGGCTGGAGTGCAGTGGCACAATCTCAGCTCACTGCAACCTCTGGCTCTGGAGTTGAAGTGATTCTTCTGCCTTGGCCTCCTGAATAGCTGGGATTACTGGTGTGAGCCACCACTAATGTTTTGTATTTTTAGTAGAGACAGGGTTTCGCCATGTTGGTGAAGCTGGTCTCAAAGTCCTGACCTTATGATCCGCCTGCCTCGGCCTCCCGAAGTGCTGGGATTACAGGTGTGGGCCACCAAGCCTGGCCTGTATTAGGTTTTGAAAGAATGAATGTATAAGTATTAGTGATTTGGTTTGGCTTTCTAGGCTAGATAGTGATTAGAAACTGAGGAGTTGAAAATAACAGGAATAGATGCTGCTGCTCTTACTGATGTGAAACTGGTTAGTTTTCGATTTGTTAGGAAGTCAGAAAACTTAAGTCCATTGGCTAAATCTGGTCACATCATTCCTCTGCCTGTTGAGTAGTTATATTAGAACCCAGTGGCCATTCAAGCCAAAAATACTATCTGGCTCTAAAAGCAATAGTTTGCTCTAGATCTTACTGGGAATCAATTGGCCTGAGTTCCAAGGGCCTTTAATGATAGTTTAAACCTCACTAACTTGTGATTAGAACCAAATGATACCTTTTGGGGAACAATTTCATACAGTTTTAAATAGTAGGTTTATCCAAACTGCACAGTTCCAAATCATGATATCCATTATTTCTGTGTGTTATGTCTCTGTTTGGTTTTTTTGTTTTGTTTTGTTTTGAGACAGTCTCCCTCTCTGTCTTGCCGAGGCTGGAGCACAGTGGCGTGACCTCAGCTCACTGCAGCCTCCACCTCCCAGGTTCAGGCAATTCTCCTGTCTCAGCCTCCTGAGAGGCTGTGCCACCACACCCAGCTGATTTGTATTTTTTTTGAGACGGAGTTTCGCTCTTGTTACCCAGGCTGGAGTGCAATGGCGCGATCTCGGCTCACTGCAACCTCCGCCTCCTGGGTTCAGGCAATTCTCCTGCCTCAGCCTCCCGCGTAGCTGGGATTACAGGCGCGCGCCACCATGCCCAGCTAATTTTTTGTATTTTTAGTAGAGACGGGGTTTCACCATGTTGACCAGGATGGTCTCGATCTCTTGACCTCGTGATCCACCCGCCTCGGCCTCCCAAAGTGCTGGGATTACAGGCGTGAGCCACCGCGCCCGGCCAAAAGCATTAAATTCTTTACATTATCCCTAAATGTCTACTCTTATTACATTCACAAAACCTCTGTAGTTGACTAATTAGTCTGGCAGGGCAGTGGAAGGGTTTGTTTTAATTGATGAGGAAAATCAAGGTATGTGGTAATTTAATATTCTCAATAGAGAAGTAAAAAAAAAAAATGTTTCCTTTTATTTAGTTCTTCTCACCATTAAATCCAATACGAGTTCATATTGATATTGGAGCTGATGGCAGAGCCACAGGAGAAGCAGATGTAGAGTTTGTGACACATGAAGATGCAGTAGCTGCCATGTCTAAAGATAAAAATAACATGCGTAAGTGGTATCTTTGGCATTCTATCTTAATTTTCTAGATGTGAATTTTTAAAATAAGAGGCTCTAGGATCTGGAGGTAACTCTTGGCAGTTGTTGGGATCTATAATCATTTGACCTCTAATAAAGTTTAAATATTAATGGCTTCCTGTGGGCTTTGTATAGCACTGTACTAGGAATTAATAAGCATACTTTGTTAAATTTTACTTAATTGATCTTTTTTTAAAAGCTTGTATTGATGAATTTGATCCATCATTCCTTTCTCCTGTTACTTTTTTTTTTTTTAAAGAACATCGATACATTGAACTCTTCTTGAATTCTACTCCTGGAGGTGGCTCTGGCATGGGAGGTTCTGGAATGGGAGGCTATGGAAGAGATGGAATGGGTATGTAAAGTTTTTAAAATATGCAGGGTTAACTACTTAGCAACTAGTCTCAACTTTTTTCTCTT